TCCAACTCCTGAGCCAAACAAGCCAGAGCTCAAAATGACTTTTTTTTTTGCATTTACCTTCAGATAGAGCAGGAGGGAGAATGGGAGGAAGAGAGAGACACATCGAGGTGAGAGAGACACATCGACTGGTTGCCACCCACACGGCCCCAACTGGGGCCAGGGACAAACTGCAACAGAGGTACATGCCCTTAGCGGGAACCGAACCCGGGACTCTCCGGTCCACAGGCCGACGCTCTAACCGCTGAGCACATCGGCCAGGGCGCAAACGGACTCTCAGTAGTCCAAATTAATATCATCAAGGAGACAAACCAGAAGCGCGTCTTCTCCGTGACGCGCTGAGGACACATCGCGCAGCGACGTCCCCGCCACCCATTTCCCCTTTAGTTTGAGCACCTCCTTGCTTTCTCACACTACACGATGCTTCAGGTTCATCTCTGTCTTTCTTTGTTCCAGCCATAGATCAATCATTTCTCCAAGGAGCCCGTTTCTCTCACTAGAGAACTATATTTAAAAACCAATTCTGGGTATATATTTTATTTTTTTTATCCTCACCTGAGGACATTTTTCCATTTTCTGTTCAGACAGAGTGGGAGGGAGAGAGAGGAACAGAGAGAGAGAGAGAAACATCGATGTGAAGGGACACATCGAGTGGCTGCCACCCACACAACCCAACCAGGGCCGGGGACAAACTGCAACCGAGGTACGTGCCCTTAGCGGGAACCGAACCCGGGTCTCTGAGGACCGCAGGCCGACGCTCTAACCGCTGAGCCAAACCAGCCAGGGCTATTTTATTTTATTTTTAAAATATTTTATTAATTTTTAGAGAGAAACATCGATGCAAGAGTGAAACATGGATCAGCCGCCTCCTGCACACCCCCGACTGGGGATCGAGCCCACAGCCCAGCCGTGTGCCCACCTGGAATCAAACCAGTGACCTTTTGGTGCAGGGACAACGTGCAGCCAACTGTGCCACACCAGCCTGGGCCTGTGTGTACATCTTAATGTTTAGTGAAGTTAGTCCTTCCATACTATATTAAGTTCTTTTTTATTTTAATATTGATATCTATTATATAAAAATACATTCCAAAAGATACTATTTACATAAAGTTTTAAAACATGCAAGAGCATAGCTGGTGTGGCTCAACGCACGCACCAAGAGGTCACCGGTTCAATTCCTGGTCAGGGCACGTGCCCAGGTTGTGGGCCCAATCCCCAGTGGGAGGCATGCAGGAGGCGGACAATTGATGTTGTCCCTCATCAATGTCTCCATCTCCCCCTCCCTCTCCCTTCCTCTTTAAATCAAAGAAGAAAAAAATGCAAGAAACACTGTGTGTGTGTGTGTGTATTTTTAAGCCTCATTTGAAGATATTTTTCCACTGATTTTTTGATACAGTGGGAAGGAGGGAGGAGAGAGGGAGAGAGAGAGAGAAAAACACTAATGTGAGAGAGACATCAGTTGATTGCCTCTCGCATGACCCTTCCGGGGCTCAGGCTTGAACCTGCAACCCAAGTACATGCCCTTAACCAGAATCCAACCCACGACTGTTTGATTTGCAGGCCAATGTTCTAATTGCTAAGCCAAACCAGCCAAGGCAATAAACATTTAAAAAAACAATATATGGTATTTCTTGCCCTGGTCAGTTTTGCTCAATGATTAGAACATCAGCACACAACAGAGTGTCATGGGTTCAATTCCTGGTCAAGGGCACGTGCCTGGGTTGCAGTTTGGTCCCCGGCCCTAGTCAGGGTCATGTGGGAGGCAAACGGTCAAAGTGTCTCCCTCACATCAATGTTTCTTTCTCTTTCTCCCCCACAACTCCCTCTCTATCTGAAGATAAATGGAAAAATATCCTTGGGTAAGGATTTTTTTTAAAAAGTTTATTGAGGTAACATTGGTTAATAATAGTATATAAGTTCCAGGTATACAACATTATAATCTGACAACTGTATACACTATAATGTGCTCATCACAAAAAGATTACATATAAGTAGTATGTAAATACATGAAAAAAATAATAAAACCAAATTTAGGATAATGTTTTGGGGGTGGAGAGGCAGAGAAGAGAAAGACATATGCTGGGTAAGGGGTACACAGGGAATAGTAATTGTTTTAGCAATGTTTTATTTTTTTAGTGTGTGTGGCAAATATACTGATGCTCAAAATATTTCATAATATTTTTAAAGATATAAACAAATGAGGAAGATTAATTAAGAATAATCAAGTAGTTGATCCATGTAAGAACAGCTGGGAAAAACCTAACTACCGCCCTGGCCGGTTTGGCTCAGCGGTTAGAGCGTCCGCCTGCGGTCCGGAGAGACCCGGGTTCGGTTCCCGCTAAGGGCACGTACTTCGGTTGCAGTTTGTCCCCTGCCCTGGTTGGTCGTGTGGGTGGCAGCCACTCGATGTGTCCCTTTCACGTCGATGTTTCTCTCTCCCTCCCACTCTATCTGTACAAAAATTGGGAAAATGTCCTCGGGTGAGGAAAAAAAAACAACCTAACTACCACTCAGAATAAACTGGTTGATACACTGGCTTTTTAAGCCTGGGAAGAAAAACAGGGAGAATGCTACACAACTATAAAGAGTATAAACAGGCCCTGCCTGGTTTGGCTCAGCGGTTAAGCATCGGCCTGCGGTCCGGAGAGACCCGGGTTCGGTTCCCACTAATGGTGCGTACCTTGGTTGCAGTTTGTCCCCGGCCCTGGATGGGTTGTACGGGTGGCAGCCACTTGATGTGTCCCTTTCACGTGGATGTTTCTCTCTCCCTCCCACTGTATCTGAACAAAATATTGAAAAATGTCCTCGGGTGAGGATAAATAAATAAAGAGTATAAACAGAATCATTAAATACTAAAACATAAAATTCCGAGAACGTAAAGTCATGGAGACTTGTTATTTCAAAGAGGTAATATGGTCGGAAACATACAAAAGTTAAATATAGTTACTATTAAGTGATAACAGTTTATTAAAAGGAAGCTAAAAATACTGAAGAAAATAAAGTGCTAAAGAAAACAACGGGACACGGAGAAGACAAAGGGGCCAGCTGACAGCGTTCCCATCTGCTAACCCAGGGCGACTTGAGCTTCAAAATTACAATGGTTTACAACCCACTGAATAAGAACCCACAGGTCTATACTGTGGACAATAAGAAATGGGTCCTGGCCGGTTTGGCTCGGCGGTAGAGCGTCACGTCGGCCTGAACACCAAAGAGTGGCAGGTTCCGTTCCAGTCAAGGGCATGTGCTGGGTTGCAGTTTAGTCCCCAGCCCCGGTCGGGGTAGTGCGGAGGCAACCACTTAATGTGTCTCTCTCGCATCAATGTTTCTCTCTCTCTTTCTCCCTCCCTCCCACTGTGTCTGGAGATAAATGGAAAAATATCCTCAAGTGAGAATTTTAAAAAAGTAAATATATAAGAATTGGTTTAGGCCAACACTGCTTTTTTTTTAAATCCTCACCCGAGGACATTTTCTTTGCATTCATCTTCAAATAGAGCGGGGAGGAAGAGAGAAACATCGATGTGAGAGAGACACATCGAGTGGCTGCCACCCACACGACCCCAATCGAGGTACGTGCCCTTAGCGGGAACTGAACCTGGGATCTCTGGTCCATGGGTCGACCCGCTAACCGCTGAGCCAAACTGGCCAGGGTGGCCAACACCATCTTAACCAAGTGATCGAAGTTAATACAGCAGGTCCTGGAATAACATCACTTCTTTCAATGTTGTTTTGTCATGTTAATGAGACGCTGTAGTAACTTAACTCTTGTTTACATCTATTAGCCTATAGTAAAATTGGTTTCTTTAGCCACCATTTTGCTTAAAGTCACAGACCCTATTGATGATAACAAGTGAGGACGTAGTGTATTTACCAATGACACAAACCAACATCATGTGCCCATGTGATGCTTTGACGATATCACTTCATTGACATGTCTGCTGAAAATGCATCTTCTGAATCTTGACTATGAGGAAAAGAGATAAACTCAAAACTGAGGAACTCTACAAAATGAATGGCCTGCCGTGGCTGGTTTGGCTCAGCGGTTAGAGCATCAGCCCAAGGACCAATGGTTCACAGGTTTGGTTCCCAGTCAAGGGCATGTACCTGGGTTGCAGGCTTGATCTCCAACCCCAGTAGAGGTTGTGCAGGAGACAACTGATTGATGTGTCTCACTCACATTTTCTCTTTTTCTCGCTCCCTGTCCCTGTCCCTGTCTACCAGTCTATCTAAAAATTAATGGAAAAAAATCCTTGAGTGAGGAGTAACAAAATAAAACAAAAAATGAACAGCATATACTATTATAAACTGTCAATTTAATGAAATACAAAGTCTATGAAATGTTTCACATTAAAAAGAATAAAGAGATACAACAAATAAATGCAATGTATGATTCCAGACTGGGAAGAAAATGGATCTAAGGAACATTATTGGGACAACTGGATAAGTCTGCATATGGTTTTGAGATTAGGTCATGTATAATATCAGTGTTAAATTTCCTGATCTTAATAGCTATACTGTAGTTATGTAAGAAAATGTCATTTTTCTTGGAAAACAATGAAATAGTTAAGAGTGAAGGGGCATGATGACTGCAACTTATTCTCAAATGGTTCAGAACAAACAGTATTTTGAGTATATATACAAATAGATACAGATACAGTAATTAGGTAGATATGGCAAAATGTTAACTGGCAAGACTAGATGCAAGGGAGTTATTTTTTAAAAATCTGTATAATTTTGAAATGACTTCAAAAGACGTTTAAACACTTACAAAAAGAATACTGTAGACATTGTTATGTCTTAAAATTAACAGAGAGCAATTACCATGCTTTCAAAATACTCCTCAGTTCCAACATCAGATAGGATTAGGCATGAGTTGTCTAATGTAAGGTTTTATTTACAGTAATAAACTACTGTTGACCATTACAAACAGCGTGCTGCAGCTTTGGTCAAAGGCACTCGGACACGGAGGTGGCGCCTCGCGCGAACAGCCGCGTGCACCCTCTTACCTGAGACATCCATCTGTCATCTCCTTGGACGTCCTCCGCTGCATGTGGAATGGCTGCTGGGTTTGCGTCTCCTTGGCTCATTCTACACCTGAGGAAACAACGTCTGTGTCACGTTTCATTCCTTACCAGGGATATTTATGTGTTACCATTTACTTAAATATTACATGCCACGGCTTTAAACAATAGTTTAAGTTTTGTTGTGGTTTTGCATAGAAACAAACAACTGAACTTCATTTTCAGCAGAGATGAATTCCAAGACACAACTGCTTAAGTCCATAAATGTCTATCATCACTAAACTTCCAGGCAGGTATGAATATCATTTAGGAACAGTGCATTACATTAAAAAAAATCTGCTCCAGTTGGCTCAGCAGTTAGAGTGTGTCCAGACCAGAGAGTCATGGGTTCAATTCCAGTAAAGGGCATGCACCTCAGGTGGGGTTCATCCCTGGCCCTGGTCGGAGTCATGCAGGATGTAACCAGTCCAGTGATACCTCGGTTCTCGAACATAATTCGTTCCAGGAGGACGGTCGAGAACCAAATTGTTCGAGAACCGAAGCAATGAAACCCAATAGGAAATCATGGAAACTGGATTAATTCGTTCCAAGCCCCAGAAAATGCCTATTTACTGGCCTAATTTGTATATAATATGTAGAAAAACATAAGTCTCAACAAGAAATAAAAGTGTACAGTATGTCTAAAGGTTAAATTCAGTGTAAAGCGTGACTCTCTCTGCACTCACACTGATGACGCGAGCAAGGCGCGCTGGGCCGAATGAACGCCATTCGGCTCAACTCGGCTCATCTCGGAAGTTCGAGTTCCAAATATTTGTTCGGATTCCAAGACAAAAGTTTCTCGAATCTCCTGGTCGAATACCGATTTGGTCGAAAGTCAAGGCGTTCGAGAACCGAGGTATCACTGTATCTCTCTCACACTGATGTTTCTCCCTCCCTTTCCCTCCCTCCCTTCTACTCTCTCTCAAAAAAAAATAAATAAATAAAAATCAATGGAAAAATATCCCTAGTGAAGAATAACAAAATAATAACAACACCACGTAATAACAACAACATGGTCTACATATTATGATAAAACTGACCACAGGCTTTGGCCCTGGTTCTTGACAAACCTTTACAATAACAACAACATGTAATAACAATTAACAACATGTGATAAAACTGACCACAGGCTTTGGCCCTGGTTCTTGACAAACCTTTACAACAACAACATGTAATAACAATAACAACATGTGATGAAACTGACCACAGGTTTTGGCCCTGGTTCCTGACATTTCACTAGGTATTTTGACTTATGACAGGTCTCCACTAAGTTCATTAATGGCATCTGATAGTGAAGAAGAAAAAATAAGTGAAATTCAGAAAAATAAGAAATTCTAGAAAGACAAATAAGTAACCAGACTGTTTCAACTAACAACTGAGAATATAGTACATACTAGAGACATTAGGCCCAAAAGGGCACTGGGCAAATGCAAAGGGTGATGAAAAAGAGAAAAATCTAGGGTTTTGTAGCTTGTAAAAAAGGTCATAGTCATATCTTTTTTTCTTCTTTTGCCATTCTCAAATACAACTAAACTTTCTTGGAAAGAGGCCTGAGTTTTACCATTAATTATATAACGAAATTAGCTCAGTTCTAAATGATACTAGGTCTAAAAAAATTAGGCCCAGGTTTAGGCCCATATCTGACTGAAGATATAAAACACCACCCCGGTGTATATATTTTTTTAGATTACTAAAATTTGCAACTACCAGAGAAAAACGGCTATCAATGAAGACTATATGTGTTATGTATCCAATCCTCACAAAAGTGGTGCAAAATGAAGAAAACGAGGGTCAATTTAGGTAATTTGCACAGCGAGTGATTGAAATTAGGTTTGTCTGACCCCACTAATGTCACATCTGGCCCACTGATCACGAAAGAACTCATGGTGACTCCCTAAAGGGGGCCATTTCATTCAGAAGACATATCTAAATACTACACGGAACTAAAAACATCAATATACAAATACAAGAATCAGAAGAACTACAAGATAAATATGCATAGCTCCACGCAGACTATACATGTTATCTGTTTGGGGTTTCACTGTCTAAAAAAGGTAGGGAAAATTAAAAGATGCATAAAGAAAAAAGAAAAATGATTAAAGGAATTAGAACAAATAGCCATATAGAATGGTTTAATCTTGGGTTTTTGCTTTTGTTTTTAAACCCATAAAACATCTATAGGTTCTATATAAAAGTGTCTTTAGGTCTCGGTTCAATTTTAGATTTAAGCCTGGCTATTCAGGTTAAATATGACATAATGTCTAATAATAGTTTTAATTTAAAAAGTACTTTTCTTCCCTGCTAATCAAAAGCTCTATTGGCCTTAAGACAGACAAAGGGCAACCAAGTCTTCCCATCTTATGGATTTCAAAACTGGACACATAATGTAAAGAAATGTAACAACAAACAGCTCCATTTTCTTTTCTTTTTTTTTGTTAATCCTCACCAGAGGGATATTTTTCCATTGATTTTTAGATAAGAGTGGACGTGGGGGAGGTGGGGACATCGACTGGTTGACTCTCGCATGGGCTCCTACTGGGGTTGGGGATCAAACCTGCAACCCAGATACGTGCCCTTGACTGGGATTGAACCCGAGGAAACAGCTCCACTTTCCACTCACTAACTGAAAAGGTCTATTTCCTGATTTTTAAAATAGGTTTAGAAACCTAACCATTTCATTAGTTTGTTCTATTTTCCCACCTGGGGAAACACTTAACAGGTATTTTGAGGCAAAAGTTAACTTAGGCAGCACCACTGGAGAAAAAGAGTCTGTCCTACTCTCGCTATTATATAATTGAAACTCTTTTACTGGGGCCCTGGCCGGTTTGGCTCATCAGTTAGCGCGTCCGCCTGCGGTCCAGAGACCCGGGTTCGGTTCCCGCTAAGGGCACGTACCTTGGTTGCAGTTTGTCCCCGAACCCATTGGGGTTATGTGAGTGGCAATCAGTCGATGTGTCTCTCTCACACTGATGTTTCTCTCTCTCTCTCCACCCCCTCTCCCTCCCGCTCTATCTGAAGGTAAATGCAAAAAATGTCCTTGGGTGAGGATAAAAAAAAAGGAAAAATATTGAGTGAGGATTAAAAAAAAAAAAAAGAATGAAACTATTTTACTGGGGATTGTTTATAGAGCAAGAGTGACAAACTGTCAATATGAAGTACCTCCATAACAATACGCATTCAAATCCACCCCTCACTGCTTACGGCCGAGCAGGCAGGCCCTTAAGCTGATTTCAGTTCTTAGGATACCACGTTCAGATTTTGTTGAAAAACTTGCAATTCTGACAACTGGAGAGTGTCTAGAGGAAAGGAGCCAAGATGGTGAGAAATTTGAAAAACTGAATAGTTTAAAAAATGGGTATGTAGAAACTGGATATCTATAGAAAAACTGGCTGGGGAATAGAAGACACAGGGTGTAAACAGCTGTCAGGTGTTCAGAGATTGCTAGGAAAGGCTATTAGGCTTATTCTGCACGTCTCCAAAGATGAAAACGGGCCAGAGTAAGTCAGACTTCTAACAAATATGACTACAAAATGACATGGCCTGTCTCTCAAGGTAGATTCCTCCAACAGAGACCCAAAGAGGCCAGGTTAACACCTAACAGGAAAGCATGTGAGTAAAGATTAGTCCACATTAGTGGGGTTCAAACATTTTTTGTTTTAGAATATATTTAAAATGCACCCTAACATGTGCATTTATTTAGAAGTCAAATATGTGAATTACTGATAATTATATTGCTAACCTACATATTATAACATATACATATTAATAAGGTTTATTTTTCCCTTTTATACATGAAAAAAGTTCTAAATTGTCCCCTGTATTACAACGCATCATCTTCTGCATGCCAGGGGAGGCACATCCTCTACTCTCAAGACCAATGGTCTATGTAAACTGTAACATCTATTTAGATCTAGGACTCATTTTACAGACATGGACTTTCAGAGTTCCTCCAACAGGTAAACCACTAATCTAAAAAATTACAATTAAGATTTGGTAGGAACTTATTATTTACAAGATACAGTGCTAGGGGCGTTGTTATTCAAATAAAAACTAAACCTCAGATTTAGGAAACTCCATGACAGGGAGAGCTGGGATTTAAACTCTGGGTGATACACCTCAAAAGCCTACTACACTTGAGCAAAGGACATTAGAAAACAGTACATAGAACAATGACAAATTCTAACGTACTAAGTCAATTAACTTATATCTTCTATTATTACTACCCCAATTTAATGGCATCCTGATACCCTCAGCAAAATACTTTCATCTTGGTCCTAAACATTTTCATGGGTAAAATAAAAAAGCTGCATGAACAGAGGAACCGAGAAACAAAATGTCAGTTGTTGGAGGCTACCAGGCAGGTAGAACTGAGAAGATCACATAATATTTCCAATTAGCTAGTCTGTTTTTTTATGAATACAAGGTCACCTTTCTTCTTTCTCTACAAGGGCGAAGTATCTGAACAAAAACTTGTTTCTCTGTATCTTCAGACACTTGGATTCTGTATTATTTTGACAAATCAAAATCTTACAATAGAAAGTCGCTTTCAGTTTTACAGATGCCTATAGTTTGGTAACATTTTTATTTTATTTTATTAATTTATTTATTTTTCCCTTTATTGATTTTAGAAAGAGAAGAAGGTAGAGGGAGAACGAGATAGAAACATCGATGAGAGAGAACATCAATTGGCGGCCTCCTGCATGGCCCCCACTGGGGATTGGGCCCACAACCTGGGCATATGTCCTGACCAGGAATCAAACCAGCGACTTCTTGGTGCATGGATCAATGCTCAACCACTGAGCCACGCCAGCCGGACATGGTAACATTTTTAAACAGCAGGTAAAGAAAAATAGCCACAGCCCTGGCAGGTTTGGCTCAGCGGTTGGAGTGTCAGCCCTCGGATCAAAGAGTCGTGGGTTTGATTCCAGTCAAGGGCATGTACCTCAGTTGCAGGTCGATCCCGGGCCTGGGTTGCGGTCATGTAGGAGACAACCAGTCGCACATCAATGTTTCTCTCCCTCCCTCCCTCCCTCCCTCCCTATCTGAAAATCAATGGGAAAATATCCTTGGGTGAGGAGTAAAAGAAAAACAGCCACAAACCCATGCAATCTCCTTTTTAAGAACCAGGATGGAAATGTACCACCTAAGGGACTATGCATTTAAAAGATCCAAACAATTTGGGAGTTAGATAAAATAAACTGTTGTATTCTTTCCAATAAAAATGAAGAATTACTAAAGAGCTATCTAAAGAACAGCCTGTGATAGGTCACAAAAAAATCTGAGTGATCTTGGGTTTCTCTCTCAGGTAGAGAGCAATACTGTAACATGGTGGTCAAGCTATAATCAATAACACACCAACAATCAATCAACACACCCCGGGAGGGATCTGACTCCCACTTCACTTTACTGATTCACAATAATCTCCCCTGTGCAGCATTAACGTCTGAGATCACAAGCAGCAGGTTCAGCTAGAAAACCCAGCCTCACGGAGATCAGACCTGAAGAATACAAGTTTTGTTCACTGACCAGGAAAGTCTCTACCAGGGAAGCTTTATTGTTCATCAAACGAAGTTTTCTGGGAAGACGAGGAGGAGGCTTGCACAGCACTATCCAATTTTCCTGCATTGTCTATTTTCTCTACCTAACTTGGACTATGACAGCATAACTCCAGAATTTCCATACTGCACAGTGCAGTGGGTCTAGTCAGAAACCTGTTCCAACAGAGAGCGATCAATTCTCAAGCTGAGCTGGATGTTTCTGTAGTTGAACCAGGAAACAGATGGAGGGGGAAAGCCACGCTAAGAATGAAAAGATTCTGAATGTTTCCACTCTGACTTTAGACTCGACCTTTTGTTGCAGAGGCAGCTAGTTGGCAAGATTATTCTGCAGGGGAAGGCAGGCTGCATCCTGAATACCCTGCCTCACCAGCCCATCCATAATTTATATCAAATGCCCAAGCCAACAAATTAAAGCAATGATTTCCTCCTCCTCCCCTGCTCCCCAACAAGGAAGCAACCTTTATATCAGAACAATGTGCCCAGGAGAAGAATCTAAATACACAGGCATATCCAAGGCAAAAAAGGCTACTCAAAAGTTCAGGGGAGCCTGGCTGGTATAGCTCAGTGGTTGAGCATCGAGCCATGCACCAAGAGGTTGCCAGTTCGATTCCAGGTCAGGGCACATGCCCAGGTTTGGGCCAAATCCCCAGCGGGGACATGCAGGAGGCAGCCAATCAATATTCTCTTTCATCAATGTTTCTCTCTCTCTCTCCCTTCCTCTCTCTAAAATCAATAAAGCCCTGGTCGGTTTGGCTCAGCGGTTAGAGCGTCGGCCTGTGGACCAGAGAGACCCGGGTTCAGTTCCCGCTAAGGGCACGTACCTTGGTTGCAGTTTGTCCCCGGCCCTGGTTGGGTCGTGGGGGTGGCAACCACTCGATGTGTCCCTTTCACGTCTATGTTTCTCTCTCTCTCTCTCCCCCTCCCACTCTATCTGAACAAAAAAATGGAAACATGTCCTCGGGTGAGGATTAAAAAAATAAAATCAATAAAGAAAAAATTATTTTTTAAAAAGTTCAGAGAAGATAATCATCCTCTGTACTTTCTCCTTCCTCCTTCTCCACTCCCCCAATTAAAGTTGTACAAAATGAGGTCTTAGGGCCAGGTGGTCTTCCCTTTCTCTATGGGTAAACTCTATAAAGAGGCCACATTTCAAGAGTTTGGTTTTCTTAAGGTTTGTCTGTAACGTACGGAAGGCGACGCTGGGACGGTGGGAGCTATGGAAAGCAGAACAGTGAGTCACCAAGCAACAAGCATATCACAACCCTGTATGTAGGCCAGAGGCGCCGATCTGGTCAACGGACATGTAGCCGGTAAAAAGCGCCCAAGAAAACCCGCCACTGGTCGGCTTAACGAGCTGGCAGACCTCGGGCACATCAGTCTCGCCGGCTCCATCTCCAACCTGAAGCGTCGGGCTGGAAAGCCCTCTAAGAAACCATATGTTGGGTCGTAACAGCCTCTGCCTTTTTAAAATAGATTAGAGGAATAAATGGAGAAGTTGTCAAGCGTTGAGATTTTTTCCAACAAAAAACGGGGAGGAGAAGGTGCCCAAGCAAAACGCAACAGAGTAGCTAACTGTCCTGGACCCGCGTGGAGGCGGCTCCGGCAGAGGCCGGGGAGGGAGTCGGGGTGCGACGCCGGGGATGGGGGGAGAGCAACAGCTGAGCCGGGACGCAGACCTGCTGCAAACGGTGCGGGCGGGGCGGCCGCGGGCCGGGGCGCGGGGCTGCGCGGAGGCCTGGGCGGGGGGCGGCCGCGAGGGCGGGGCGCCCCGCCACGGGGTTCCTCCGCGCGGACAGGCGGGGCGCAGCGCGCGGCCAGCGGCTAAGGAGAATCGGCAGGTTTGGGGGTGGGGAGGCGGGCGAGGGGCCGGGGGTCGGGGGACAGCGACGGCGGCGGGGAATCGACGACAGCGCGCGCGCGAGGCCACCCCAGGGGCGGCGGGGGGAAGGGCCCGCTGGGTGGGGGAGGGGAGGTCGCGGGCCTCTCACAATAACAAACCGCAGCCCCTTCCAGCGCCCGCCCCGAAGGCACCGGCGCCCCGCGACGCCGAGTGCACTCACTCAGGCAAGGGTCCGAGCAGGCCCAAGTGGCTGCGGCGTCTGCGGCGGCGCGGCTGTCGCTCGCTCAGTCCCGGCGGCCCCACTCCGGCGCGTCCCTCCTCGGGCCAGAGCTCCAGCAGCAGCGCCCCCACTTCCGGTTCCCCCGCCACTCAGGCCGCTGGCTCCCGGAAGTCCCGCCCCGTCCTGCCCGGCCGCGGGCGGCTCGGCGCCGCGCACGTTCCCTCTGGCTGGCGCTCGCTGCGGGCGCCCTGCCGCGGCCCGCGGGGCTCCCCGCTTTGTCCGGGGGCCGGCCCTCCTGCTGCTTGCGGACTGCGCGACGTGGGCCCGTCCTCCCGCCAGCCGCGTCCCGCAGTCCTCGTTAATGTCACCGCGGAGTGGAGATGACACTCGGGACAATGCGGCGTGACCTCACGCTGACGCCATTCCCCGCGCAGCCCGCCGACCGCCTTCCTCCTCCAGCCGGCCGGGCCGGACCGGGCCGCTGCGGGGGGGGGCGGGGACTGAGGCCCGGGGGAGGCGCGAGCCCCTGCGCCCACGCGTGCAGTTCCGCTCCTGCGATGAATGCGTGGGTGCGGGGCTGCCCCAGGGGCGTGGCGAGCCACAGCCTTTCCCTAATGACCCACCCGGCTAGGGGAAGACGTGCAGATGCAAAGTCGACACGGGAAAGGATTTCTGCAATGATACAGAAACGCGGGGT